CCCTACTATGACCTTTCAGTTTGTTACTAAATGATAGAAACTTGTCGTGACTGGTTCAATGAAATTTTTTTTGTATTTTGTTACTCTTGCTATTTTAAGTTGCTAAGCATTATCAATGAATATTTATAAATATATGTTTTTATATCCAGTTTATCATTTCAGGAGTCTTCCTAATAAGAGTAGCAAAGCATCCATCTCAGCGCCTGGTAAGTTGCAATGTTCAGAGTAACTTCAAGACCACTTGTCGCAAAGCTAAATAGGTTTTAATGAAAAGATGGCGAGGATTTAAACAATGAATGACTCTACCCCACCTGTAGAATAAATGAAGGAATTAAGTGAAAAAATGCAGAAGCACATAATTAAATGTAGACAGGCACACTATATTAGTTAGAACCATGATTATGTAAAGGTTCCTAAATTTAAATATAGCTTTTTATGGTTTAGTATTCTACCTTCGTTTAATATAGGTGTATAAACTTTACTGTTAGGAAAAACTGTAATAGGACCTAACGCCTTTATATACAGATGTAATACTACTGTAAAACTCATTTTCCTAACTATCCAGTTCGGGAACTGGATTGTATCTTGTAACGAAATAGAGGACAGATCTGGAATAAAGACCCATCTATGATATAGGTGGAAAGATATTGGGAAGAAAAATATCTTAGAATCTTAGAGGCAAATGATGTCTTAGAAATTAATTCATCTTATCTCATAGTTGTACAGATAAAAAAAAAAAAACTAGTCCAAAGGTATTGATGGATTTTTCCTAGAAAATGAAAACCCAGGATTAAAAATCATTAATTCCTACTTGGCTTATTTCTACAAATAGCCATTTTCCATCTTTTTCTTTTTCTTCTTGCAGTGGCACTTCTTTTGTTCAAGTTATTTCTTACAAGGTTTCTTCCAACTGACTCAGAAAATTGTAAATTACAATATTTTTGAGCCCAAATGGAAGATATACATTTATTGATATGATGATATTTTAGAGCTTTCTCCAGACTTAACTGGATCTCATGTCAACCAGAAAAATATTTCACTCTATGGCAAGCATACCAAGACTTCTAAAGTTGCAGAAACTGGATCAAAGTTTTAAAGATGATTTTTTTCAGCAATGCAAACTGTCTAATCAAAGTGTTTATTCTGAATGTAATAAATGTACCCTATATCTTCTTTACAGGTTGTACTAGCATTGATCACAAACATCTTCTGTGTAATCACTACAATTATTGCAGTAGCTTTGACAGTAACTGAATTGTCTAAATTTCATTCTGTGTCATATAAGAATTATGGGCAAGCGGTAAGTGGCCAATTCTATAGGAACATCTTAATTTCAAAATGATTCTTTTCGGAGGTGTTGAAGTCTTAGGAGGTAAAAAAAAAAAAGAAAAGGCTATTGGTCCTCACAAAATTCTTTGATTTAATAGTAGACTCTCAATTGAAAGTTCTAATTCAGAAAATAATTCTAACATGATTTTTGTAAATATTAATAGAATGTTTGAATTCTTGACATGCTCAATTAAAATAAAGCAAGTAAATAATTTGAAGGCTTCAGTGGTAAAAATATCTGCATTAGGCATAGGATCGCTGATGATTTTCTTAATGGAAGTAAAGTGTAATCTTAGACCTTAAAACCGTTGCCAAGATCAACAAATAATTCTGCTGTTGCATACAGTTGAAATTGTAGATATCTAGAAATTTCTGGTTTAATACATAGTTTTCCATACACAGCCTATTTTCGTGTTTCATATGAATTCTGCTTTAATTCCTCAAATAATAAATGTGAATATCTTTACTGATATCAGGATAGATTTATTTCACTTGTGTCGGCTTTAAATTCAGAATTGCACATTATTAATGTTGCAAAAGACTACCAACACATAACGAAAGTCTTCCATTTAAAACGAGATCAGATCGGAGTGGAGCCCCTCCGTTACTGAACAACAGAACAAAACAAATAACAATTTGAAAGTGTTAATTCAAATATAATTCTAATTAGTAGAAGAGGGATAAACTTGTAGGTGAGGGATAAACTTCCTGCTCACTGCACCCCCTCATGTACCCCATGTACCCCAATGCCATAGCTGCAAGTATATTGTACAGGGTACTGTCAGTGGAAGGAATACAAGCATGGAAAAAAAAAAAGCCTAGAGAACAATGAGATGAGAAGATGCACCAGTACCCCAAAACAGATGGTGTATAATGATTGATGCATTGATTTAAATAAGCATACATCAGATTTTCCCTATAAATTGTAAGAAAATTCTCCACTCTCCCTGGAAATTCAATCTAGAAATCTTCTAATTCAGGAGCCAGAGACAGGAAGGGGGAATAAATGACTAAGAGTACAGTTTTTAAAGTTATTTTAGCTTCCCACTCTTGTCCATAAGCTTATAACCATCAGTTTAAGATAATATGGCATAATCGCCAAGACCTGCCTTTTGCAAACACTATCACAAACCAGTGTAGACTGTATTTATCTGACCTGAACTCAGTATCAATGATCAGTTTCACAATCTCCCAAACACATGCTTCAGCTTTGTTTGCTGTGATTAGTTACACAAAATGAACTTGTACCTACATCTCTAACCCCCTTTCTTTTCCTAAAGGCTCCCTTATTTGATGTAACCCTTCACCCTTCTCTTTCCATTGTCTTCCCAATTACCAAATGCTGCTTATTATTTACTTAAATTTTTATTAATTGGGATTCTTGGTTGTAAGTGACAGGAAATGCAATCCAGATTGACTTAAGCACAAAAAAAGGGGCAGTTAATGACTTAACCTGGATTCAGAGGCTTGAAACCTCTGAATGGTACCGATAACTCAGTCACTCTCTGCCGTTCTCCTGTTTGAACGTCTCTGGCAGACATCTCACCACTTTCAGGGGGAGAGCTTGAGAGTAACTCTAACATCTAAATTAAGGAATAGGGTACCAGAGGGTGGGGGTAAGGGAAAGGGAAAGCGGGGAGGTAGACGGGGTAAAGAGTATCAGATATGTGGTGACAGAAATCTAACGATGGGAGGTGAACACGCAGTGTAAATATAGATATGCCTTACTGTTAAAGTGTACAGCCAAAACTTACTGGATTTTGTTAACCAATGTCATGAAGGAAGGAAGGAAGGAAGGAAGGAGGGAGGGAGGGAGGGAGGGAGGGAAGGAAGGAAGGAGAAAAGGAAGAGGAAAAGGAAAAGGAATGGAAGGGGGCAGAACTACTATACAATCTCGCCAGCTAAGAAGTCACAAGTACTTTCCAGCTAAAATGTTACAATCACGTTTCTGCCAACAAAATCAAATCAGAATTCTTTACTTTGTTATTTTGAACCCTCTACAGTCTTTTCTTTATCTTACTGTTAATATACATGAATGAACACTATACCTTAAGTTAAACTTGTTTTATCACTTTCTCAAATCTGTTATGTTCGTTCTTGCATTGAGTTTTTTGCTCACATTATCAAACCATAGATCATGTATGTATTTTAGCTTTACTATTCTTTCCATTTTATGTCTTCATTTCTTAATTATTTTGTCCCACTTTTAATTTGCGCTTTTCTTTCTGGAACAAGAAAGGTTACAGAAATCAAATAAGCTGAAGCTGCCTCGAATGTGGCTTCGCTTTTCTCCGTCCTACTCTTGTTTCAATGGTCCTAGCTCTTGACGGAGCCCTGCTGGATATAAGTGGCTTAGGTGAACCTCCTGTCCCCTATAGTTATTGAACCGGGTTTTTATCCATTTTGACATATTTAACCTTATTATATGTTACCTTATATTATCTTTGTCTTTTCTACTTGAATGTAAACCTTGAGAAAACAAGAATTTTTTTGCCATTTCATTCTTGCCGTCTTATTCCTACTCCCTCATAGTTTATTCCATCTGTACGATAGTAAGTAAACCCAACAAAAAAGAAGAGAAGGAATCGAAGGAGAGAGCATTACGATATTTTTATTCTAGGTCTGAACATCGTTTTTGTCTTTCCATACCCAGCATGAAAACTACATTTATTTTCAGAAGTAGTACCACTATCATTCATCCTGATATAAAGTTGAAAATATCTTTCCGATAGCAACAGAAGGGAATGCTTGCTTTATTCCAGCATTGCAGTCACCTTATATGCCAGTGTGATGCACTTTGAACTCTTTTAATTTATTCATCCTTCCATTAGCGATTTCTATGTGAGATTTTTATCACCACACCCGTAAATTTAAGTAAGTCTATAATTAATAATAGCTGTTTTATTTTTTTATTTTATTTATTTTAGTTTTTGATAATAGCGGTTTCAATACCTGAGGATTGCTTGATAAAATCTCTTGGTAGCCGTCTTATCATTGGAGACAGGAAAGTCAAATCTTATTGACTGAAGGGTTGAGATAGTGCTCTGTAGTGAAGGGAATAATGAAAATGAAAAGTTGTGAGAAGTGAGACGAGAATGGTGAGTGATCAAGATCAAGATTGGAAACGATGGACGATGAAGGAATGAAAGCTAGGAAAAGAGAGCAGAAGGCAAAGGAGTAGGTGCGCCTCGGGAAATCCCACGGCCGAAGAGGCTTATTTATTCTTCTTCTTCCTGTTTTCCTTCTTTTCCTTGACTCTCATACTAGGAGCTCCTTCCTTGAACATATTTGCACATGCTAAATCAGTAATGCAAGATTTCTCCCTATTTTCTGGTTTCAGAAACTCGGGAGGGAAGTTTCACGCGTCTTACTGTTCTCCTACCCTCTGGAATTAGCTCTTGCATTTACATACTCCATCTTCGGCTGTATCGATTTGGTAAGTGTTTATCTCTCTCTGGCCTATCGAGAGATGTTGCTGTCTAGTACGCATGCTCTAGGAGGAGATGAAGTGCACTGATGCACTATGATTAGAATTAACAAAAATGGAATATATCGTAATGCTCCCTTTACTTTTTAATTTTTCTTTATTGTTTATAAAATTACAAAAGTAACACATGAAACTGTAAGTAAAAGAGGAAAAAATTATAGAGGAAAAAGTTATTGTCCTCTTAATGTTGTCCTTGTCACACCCACACATGCAAATCTACACAAAAAGACACTGAGTTTTCATTTTTACTACCTGTGTGATAATACATCGTTTGGTCACATGCTGCATTTTTCTCAACTACCATAAAAATCTTTCTATTATAAAACATATCTAAACAATGCCTTTTAATGGCATCATATTTTTCCTTAGAATTTATTTTAACATTCCTTTACTGCTGCATATTTAGCTTTTTTCCAGTTTTTTAAAAATTATAAACAATGATGCAATGAACATCCCAATACATATAACTTTACATGTAAGACTAGTATTTCTGTAGGTAGTCAATTTCTAGAAGTGTGCAGTTGACCCATGAACAACGCAGGGGTGTGGGGTGCCCACCCCCACACACACACACACAAATGCACAGTTGAAAATCTTCACGTAGCTTTCGCCTCTTCCAAAACTTTACTACTAATAGACTACTGTTGACCAGAAGCCTTACTGATAACATGAAGTCAATTAACACACATTTTGTATGTTACATGTATTATATAGTGTATTCTTGTAATAAAGGAAGATGGAAAAAAGAAAATGTTAATAAAATCATAAGGAAGAGAAAATACATTTATAGTACTGCACTGCATTTATCAATAAATATTATAGTTTCTCATCCATTTACAAGATGAATGGTCCGTGAGCACCTGCATCAATATTGTCTTGTATAATATAAAATACTGTAGGTGTTATATGTATTACTGACACTGGACATTAAAAATGAAAAGACAGTATAAAAAAGAAAATCATATTTATAGATACGACAACAAGAAGCAGCAATATGATTGCATTATGGTAGCTCAATGTAATTGATACAGTTGCTTCACAGTAGCCTAGCCTATACACTAACAAATGAATCATTGTCAAATTTTTATGGCATACACTATTATAGCCATATTCATAATACAGTATTAGAAACATTTTTACAATTTTTTAAACCACTTACCTGTGATGATTGTCTGATATACAGTTTCTCTAATTATGAGAGAGACATACTGTACAGTAATGTAATTCTTTGAAAGCAAAGTTGTAAAACAGTAAGAAAAATAACCCATTATTAATTTTATGTTGACTACCACTCACCTTATGCCTGTGGAAGGACAGACCGTCCACTTGCACATAAGTCTCGCACATGATGTTCTACATGACAAATACGTTGGCGATGATGATGATGATGATGATGATGATGGCAACTCAAAAAACATCTCATGCAGTTATTAGATTTGCACATGACACACACGTGCAGCAGATGAGTCGATTAGGTGTATGTATGGCATGATGATTATTTACTATTTGTTAAAGGGAAATGGATCATCATAAAGTCTCGTCCGTGTTGTGCTCACATCGAGGTTGCTGTGCAGGGGGAGGGAAGGGAAAGGAGGGGTTGGTCTTCCCGTCTCAGGGGTGGCAGAGGCCGAACGGTGGAGGAAGTGGGAGGGGAGGCAGGCGAGGCGAGCACAGTCAGTGTAAGTTTATGGAAATATATCGTAATTTATGTCTGATTTATTTTGCTTTTTCATGTCTCTAAAAAAATTTCTATAAGGTACTAATCCTTCTCCCACCATTTGCTTGAGTTTCAGTGCCCATATCACAGAAGGGGTCATGTCGTAAAAGAAGTCAAAAGCATTCTCAGATAATCAGAACCCTTCTGCCAGCCTGTCTAATGTCAATTTGTCTTCTGGCACTGCATCTTCTATGTCTTCTTCCTCATTGTCTGGCACTGGTTTGTAGGCATTCATCTCTATCAAGTTATCTTCTGTTAATTCCTCTAGTGCGCTATTAACTCTTGGGTTTCTCTGTGATCCCTATCTTGAAACCCTTTACCCTCACCTTTTTTGCTACATCCATGATCTCGTTCATTTTTTCCTTGATCGGCTCCATCGTAAACCCCGTGGAGTCATGCACAACATCTGGACACAGCGGGAATTTCTGTTTCGACTTGATAGCTTTCACAGCTTCTCCTGTAACAAAGATGGCATCGTCGATGGTGTGATCCTTCCAGACGCTCACGATGGCCTCTCTGTTGGGCTCCCCACCATAACGTTGACCGTCCTTTCCATAGAGACCGTGTGTAATGATCTTTAAAGTCCTTATGACCCCCGGATCCAGAGGCTGAATTAGAGACGTCATGTTCGGGGGCAAGTAGACGACTTCGACGCCTTCGGTGTTGAACTCACGGGGCTCAGGGTAGCCGGGGTCACTGGCCAATATCAAAAGAATTTTAAAAGGCAGTCGCTTACTGGCAGGGTACTCCCTGACTTCAAGGAAAAGCATCGGTGGAACCAGTCCAGAGCAGGGGTTCTCGTCCAGACCTTCTTTTCGTACTAGCAAAAGGCTGGCAGCTGGTGTTTATCTTGTCCCTTGAAGGCCTCGGGATTAGCAGCTTTATAGGTAAGGGCCGTCCTGATCATAAACGTGACTGCATTTGCACAAAGCAGTAGAGTTAGCCTGTCCCTCCTGCCTTAGATCCTGGGGCTCGATTATCTTACTAATAAATGTCCTTTATGGCTTCTAATTTTTTTTAATAGAATAGAGCACTTTTATCTGCATTCAAAACCCGTTCAGGAAGATATCCTTTCTCCTCAATGATTTTCTTAATGGTGTCTGGAAATTCATTGGCCTGTGTTGGCAGAAGCTGTTATCCGACATGTTTTAAGCC